ATTGTGCTATTCCCTTTTGTATCTTTTTCATTTTTCATTAATCAGTAATACACGCCACAATTATGTATTTGAAAAGAAGGTTCTAGAAAACTTCATTACATGCATTTTGGACTTCAATTCCTTTTAAGTTCTTTAAGTAGAATCCATCTTACTTACCAATTTGTCTATAATTTTCTGTGTACAGTGTCAGAAACATTATAAATGGATGTCAGATACTTCTTCAAACTGTAGACAAGAAAATAAAAGTTCTTTGCTTAAGCCAGCGAAATACAGAGCCGCTAAAGCATACAGGAAAGCACCCACCTATCCATTTGGTAAAAAAAATATCCATTGGTCATGGGTAAGGTATATCTGTCTACGCTTAGAAGGATAATCAGCACGCTGAAAACATCAAATTTGTGTACCAAGCGTAGATAATAAAGTTCCATATAGTTGCATATAAGTGAAAGTCGGTTGATCCTCAATCTAATTCATAATGACTCCTCATTAAGCTGTCAGTATTACTTAAAGACATGTTATTCTTGATTCCATTAATTATGTCAATTTGCTTACTTTTTTTATTTTGTGGAATAAATATACCCATAACCTATTCCGGTAAAAAACAAACTCTATAATTGCGTTTTTCTGTCTTTTTTCCCAATCGACTCCATTTGTAAGTCTGGTGTTCTTTATCATGCATAGATATTCAATGTGTAGTTAATTTCCTAATAGTCATTGAAGTGTTTGTTTTAATTGTGTTAAATATGGACAGTTGTAATCTAATTTTCTATAGTTAACAATTTTAATAAACTATTTTCTTACTTCCAGATCAGTGTAGATTAATCGCTACAATCAAACATGAAAACACCACATTGGGTCCTCTACGTCATCTTTCTTTTCATTTTTGCCACCCTTTATATCTACGTCAAGGGTCATTTTGGAATTGTCCACTTCAAGGATATGGTAAGATTTTAAATATCTAATAGCAATATTGTTCAGGTGATATAATATGAATGCCTGCAGGATAAATCACCATTATTTTCATGATTTCTATGATAAAGTAAACCCTTTTGGCTTTCAAATTGGTATGAAAATTGAAAATTAAACATCAGAGAAAAAGGAGAGCATGTCATCGTTTGATATCTGGCATAGCCTTGACAGAGGTATTCTCACTTTTACGGCTGTGAAATGTTTTGCCTTGAGGACGAGACTTGATCTTGATCGGGGAATCCGAGCCTTGACTGATGTGAAAATGTCTCAACATAATAAAGAGACTTTTTTTCTGGACGAGGACGTCCTTTCTTTTACCGGTATGAGATTCTCTTATCTCATCCTGAGGACAAAACTTGGAATGAAGTAGGGTTGGTGAAGGAAGTTTAATGAGCTGTTTTGTCCGGTATTTTTGTCAACGTTCTAATATTTAACAATGAATGTATTTGATAATTATTCGATGGTTAAACATTTCATCCCACAACGACAACATATCAGAATAAATTTCTACATCACATCCGTTCTTTTTATATATTTCTATATATAGACCTTAATGTGTATTACTAGTAGTTATGTTAAGCCATGCTTCAATTGAGAATTCTTCGAGGCTTAAATCCAGGTCCAAGCGCATTAAAATTATGATATTTTGGCGTTGTGCTTCTGAGGATATTTTGTTAAACAAGAGATTATTGACTCAAGCGCCGGCAGCTTGTTTTTTAAGTGGCGTGTTGACACCCATCAATAACCATGATGGATTCAAAATCACATAGCGTTTTATGAGCAGGTAATCATTACATGGAAAGCAAGGATTTAGTTATATAATATTGACGTGCCTGTGCACAGGTTTGAGGAAGTGAAACGTGATATCCAATTGTTATTAACAAGACCTATGCAGTCGCTTTAATTGGTTGTTGGAGTGATCTATCGAGTATTGTAATTATATGTATTGAAATATTTTTGTGATCAGACAACAATACAGTGACACCTGTGACAATAATTACAGTTAAATAATGGAAATAAAGCTATGATAAATAGAATGTTGACAATAGAACAACGAGAAACTGGATACTAAGAGATTTATCAAAGTAGAAAGAAACGAGAATATAATCTTCTGGTGGAATATTTTTTTATTACCATTATAAAGGCTTGAAACTGAACGCTAAGTACAATAAACAATGCCGAGATGCAAAAGCAAAAAAAATCTTGAAATAAATCGTCTGACTTCTATGAATCATTCAGCAGTTGCATTTAAAATTTTCAAATTTAAATTTCAACATTTTCGTAATATAAAATTTGGATTTAAATTTCAAGATTTTTAAATCCACTTTTTTAAATTCTCTCTTGTATGTTATTACTATCATTAACTCATCACATATCACGATTTATATTTTCGTATTGTGCAATAAATCCAACTATCCATGAAACACGGCTAGCCTTTGTGTATCCTTTTAAAAATAAAAATCAAATGGAGATTCATACACTAAATAAAATTTCATAAGTGCAATTTTTACAACCCAGCCGCTTATATCTCTTATAACTTAACCAACAATTAATAGTCATCTTTATGTATATAATATATATATAAATATATATATATATATATATATATATATACTGAGAGGGAAAAGAAACGCAATTAGGAATTTCCAGTTCAAGTACAGGAAATAGAAAAGGGTTTTAGAATGAAAATTATGGTGTAACTGGTAGATAGTTGACCACTCTGTCATCTACGAGAATTTCATTCGTGTGCGTTAAGTAAACCTTTCAAATTTGACGTTGATTCAAGAATATCCCTCCTCATTGGTATACGATTCCATTCCTCATCCAGGTCAGGGCTGTATAGGGGCCAGTCTAGGGTGGGGACATTGTTTGCTGCGAGATAAACACGGCAAACCCTCACTACATGCGGCCGGGCGTTGTCCTGCTGAAACGTCAGTTGACGCTGCTGTACTAGAGGAACAACATGCGGCGCTAGGACTTGATCTCTATAGCGGACGGCCGTGAGAATAACGACCAGAGGAGTCTTGATACCATGCGCAATCCCTCCCATTCCATGACCGATCCTCCTCCAAAGCGGTCATTCTCTATCACGCAAGCATCTGCATAGCGCTCGTGGGTACGTCTATAGACACGACGTCGACCGTCTTTGGTCTGGCACGTCGCCGCGCATTAAAATCTGGTCCAACATATGGCCGCCGCTGTCTTAGACCGAAGGCACGCAGTCGAGAACGCACTGTCTTTGGATCAATTGGAACATGATGACGCCCAATGGTGGTCCTTGCTGTTTCCGTGGCCGTCAGAAAGCGAAAGTCGCATTTCCCTATCCTGCCGACGCATCGTCACACGAATGCGACCGCTTCGGGGACGGTCTGCAACCCTTCCGGTGGCATGTAGTCTTGGATGAGACGGCAAATGTTCGATGGATGGGCTCCAAATAGATTAGCGACCTGATTTTTGCGGGGTACCTTGCATAAGAAGTGCAATGGCACGACCCCTATCAACTTCGAACAATCGTAGCATTTTTACGGTGAACTGTTATGCTTAAAATGTGGGAAATCAAGACGGATATGTCTGAAGATTCGCACACACAAATTTTGAACCAATCCTTTATACTGGGCTCGAGATGTCGTGCTTTTGTCTCTTATTCTTTTGTACAAGCGGCGTGCGCAGTTTAGTTATGCATCAGTGATTTTAATACGGTACCATAGGGACCTAACTCAAATGTACACATTTGTCAAGTTTCAAGGGTGTATGTCAAGGATTTAATTTACAATATTAACTTTCTGCTAATTGCGTTTCTTTTTCCTCTCAGCGTTAATATTTTTATCTTTTTTTTTCATATGCTTTACTATATTGATTGAAGTGACTTCATATATATATATATGGTAACAACAAACCGACGTCATATAGATGGTAACGACGTAGTGACGTCATCTATTTGGTAACGACACAGTGACTTCATATATATGGTAACGACATAGTGACGTCATATATATGGTTACGACATAGTGACGTCATATAGATGGTAACGACGTAGTGACGTCATCTATTTGGTAACGACACAGTGACTTCATATATATGGTAACGACATAATGACGTCATATAGATGGTAACGACGTAGTGACGTCATCTATTTGGTAACGACACAGTGACTTCATATATATGGTAACGACGTAGTGATTTCATGTATATTGCAACAGCATAATGACGTCATGTTTATTGCGACGACATACGGTAATACATTCAAAAACGCTACTACAATATTAAAAATGTATTCAATTTCGCCTAAATCAATTTGATGATATTTTACTTTCATCTTTCATTTATTGAATATTGTCTAGAAAATTTAGGAAAAGCAAAAACGAAGTGAATTAAATTGTCTTCATTTCTTTCATTGTGGAGTATTTATTTATGCAAAATGCAATCGGTTTTCTGTTTTACTTTGTAACAGTTAACGCATGTAAAGACCTATATTCGCATTTCTTATAGCAAAGGCCATCTTTATTCAAAGTTTGTCTCAAAGAAGACGTATGATTTTCATTTTTATTAATAGTTTCAAGTGTCCTATCGAATTAAATATTATTTAGGATCATCCAGTTCTAAATGAAGGCGTGGACATGTTTACAAAAGCTTACAGATAACGTTTTCTAGGATATAGATTGGCTACCAGTGTAGATATTATATCTATCGTAAGTGTAACACATTTGCATTTTTCTTCATATGTATTGTCATGACAGTCATTAATTTCGGAATGTTAAATCTGACGGAATGGTTAATACTGATATACAGCTGTTTGTTTATTGATTGCTTTATATTTATATATATATATTGTCTTTTTGGGGGGTTTTTGCTTTTTTTTGGGGGGGGGGATGTGTGGTTTGTGCGGTTTTTTATTTGTCGTTATTTTTTTCTACTTCTTCTACTCTGATAGATATATTTTGTATAATAGTCTGAATCAGTGTTATTGATTGTCATGATCGGTTTTCATCCATTTACAGAAATTCTTCCCTAAACCGAGGAATGTAAACGAAATGGATCAGGCTGTAAGTACTTGAAATAAGATATCAAGATATTAAATAATGCATTGGTCAAAGTAGTTCTACTACTCAACATATGCCAATCAGTTTTGTAGTGGAATATTTCTTAACTTCAGATTATCGAAAGGTTTTGATTGCATTGTTATCAGTATGTACAGCTGTATAAACCTTTTAATTAGCAAAAATATCTTTTATTTTGTAGCACAACATAGAGGGCTTCATCCGACGCATAGCTGGTACAAATAAAAGTTTGACGGTTGTTACGGGATACTTCAACATTGGAAGTTTTCCTAAGGGGTCCATTGCTAGTATTAGAAAACCGAAAAGTTATGAAAACTGGCTCAGGGTTTTAGGAAAAATCAAAAACCCTGTCATACTTTACACCGACAGTCCAGCTTTTGCAGAGGCGTTTGATAATATTCGCAACCACACAAAAGACCTTACAAAGTCTGTCGTCATCAATCGAACATCATTATGGAGTTTCCAAATTATTCCGAAAATTGCAAAATTGTATTCCACTCCGGGATATCCCAAACATTATCCAAACACATATGTGCCAGCCTACACGGCGCTCACTCATTCCAAATTACCAGTTGTGTTAGATGCAATAAATCAAAGCTATTTCTTGACAGATTATTATTGTTGGTTAGATATTGGGTATTTTCGGGATATTTTGGCTAGAAAACAATCGTTCTGGTTGGAAGTTCCAAGCGATTTTGATGCCACCAAAGTTGGTGTTACACGTGTATATAATTCTAAACTCTCAGATATACGACCAAAGACTATAATTTATGGAAATTTAAACTGGATTGGAGGAGGTCTATTTCTAGGAAAGCCAGATGTTCTTGTGAGATTCGGTAAGCAATACAAAGACACAGTGATGCGATACCTTAACGAAAGTCTTATGAATGTAGAACAACAAATTTTATACTCCATGTTTACAACAGAGGAACGCAAAGCACACCCTTTAGACGTTGACGTACAATTATACATTCCCGGAAGGAAGAAAGTGTTGTCCAACAATCCCTGGTTTTATCTTGGGTATCTTATGTACAATGAAACATAAGCTATGATAGATTGATATTTTTTCTAATTTTCAATTCTTTAGTATAACGGTGCTGGTGTTTAATTGAAAAATATATTTGATCGATTGCACAGATTTTCTAAGATCGTACAAATGTTTATTAACTTGTTGGAATTCGGGAATTGATATTTCCTTGGATCGAAACTGGAAGAAGAATGCAATTATTAGCAAAGTTGAATAGTTGTTATACCGTTTAATTGCAATAACAGATTGTTTTCTAAAATGTGACTTGCTTTACTTTAAAATGTTAAAGAGATATTTTTGTATGATATCTATTTTTAACTGTTATATATGAAACGATGCAAATGTGCATACATATCATAGCTGGCTTTTCCAAGCTTGGTCAGAATATCTGAGAATTAAAATCTGAAATGAGATACTCTACGTCTTTATGTCCGTTCGTCTTTCCAAGTCGTCTTTCTTCCTGTCTTAACCCAAAGATCAGGGCAGTTATACGTCGAATTCTTATAATATAATAAAATATATCTACTAATCATATTCGAAAATTTTGAAAACTTAAGGACACGTATGTAGACTCGTACGATTCACAAACATTAAACGTTACCTTCAAAAGAAATGGATTTTAATATACATGAAATAACATACTTGACTTTCATAGCCAAATGTTTTTGTGATAATAATGACTTTATTTTTAACATCTACACTGACTGTATTAAGGTACATTCTGTCATTAGTTTTGCTTTTGTTCGGTTTATAACCTTTTATGTATAATTGTAATTTTGTTTTCTTTGTTTTTACTTTTTCAATTTAAGTTTTATTATACATAAGCAAAACACAAGATGTAAGTTCCAGCACGTCGTTGTCGCAAGAGCCGTGATATTATTAAAATCAGAGTCCCTCCCCTCTTTGTTTTGGGGGAGGGGGTGTTGGTTTGTTTCTTTTTTAAGGGGGAGTGTTTGATCTTTATTAATAATGTTATCCGAGACAACAAATCAATATTGATTTATATTTCTAAAAATTACTTTCTGCTGAATTTGTTACTATTTCTTTTTAAAAAAAAAACAGTCCTTTTCCTATGGTGAAGCATACGTCCACACCAATTATTACACAAACAACTATACCACACAAAAATAACCAAGGTTTTATAATTCTTACACGGACGCAGAAAAAAAAGAAACATTCTGCTAAATTGAAACTTATTAATATACGCACGCGTACAATCCCTTAACCCTATCTTCAAATATGAACATACCAACATGTAAACAGAATCATTATCCAAACTCAAATACAATGAAACTATGGCAGGATATGAATAATAGAAAATTTACATAGATACTCCTAAAAACACAATTAGACTGTCTATAAGAGCAAAAGTACGTGTTTTCTGCTTCATTAGCGATTTCATTAACCTGCATCTCTCGAAATCACGTGGTCTTTTTTCCTTGCCATTATTCAGTTTACCCTAGTGTCATCAAATTTGAAATTGATTTATGATTCCGTCGACAAACAGCATTGGTTTAGTTGCTTTTGTCATTTTTCTATGGCATGACAAAGGGGCAGACCAGTTTGAAAGTTAATCAGCAAATTTATCCGTGGTGTTTGTATAACACTTGATAATTAAAATAGGTATAATACTTATATATTCCAATATCATTAATGAAATATAAGATAACGTATTGGTCTGTGACAGATTTTTTTTTTCGAGAATTCTTTATATATTTTTTACCTAAAAATATTCGTAAAATTATACTTTTTATGACAGTTTAGAACTTCTCCGTTAAATGGGAATCAGTTTCAAACAACTTTCCGATATACTTTTCAAAACGTTCTTGTTCTCTGCAAGGATTCAATAGTTATTTATTTAGATATTTCCTATAGTTTAGAATCTATATTTTCATAACAATATATATTATACACCCGGAGACAATATTTTAGGGTTGATATTTCCATAACAATATACATTTTTCATCTGGAGACAATATTTAAGGGTTTCTATTTTCATAACAATATACATTATACATCCGGAGACAATATTTTAGGGTTGATATTTTCATAACAATATACATAATACATCCGAAGACAATATCAATACTCCCACATTGACGATATTCGATCGATATAAATATTTTCCATATTTGCGTTTGAGAGAGAACTATATTTCTTAATACTGACCGTTTTAACTAGATAGATGAAATGCGATGTTATCATATCCAGGATAGAAATATTATTTCTACTTATTTGTTTGTTAATGTATGTTTCAACTGACATATGGTGTGGGTGATAATGGCGGATTTCTTACTCTGTCAAACCGGTGTCATTTTCAATTTTACGATTGATTTATTCTCGAGTTTCCGTTCTGAAGTGATGTCAACATCTAATACTCGATTATCTCCTTGGTTATGAAATAATCGAAATGGAAACAACTGGCGCATGTGTGTTTACCTTCCGTTTGGATGATTTATTACTAGAAAATTATATAAACGTGGGCGGACTTAGACATAAGAGATATCTTGATTGTGTTGTGGTTTTTTTTTATGTTTGCTTTATCGATAATCTTTCTTTCAGATGTGTTAACTATTAATCTATGCTCCCTAATATGGCTCGGGTTTTGCAACTAATAATCTTATAAATTGCTTCATTCTCATACAGGAAATCAAGGCAGGAAAGAATCAGAAATTCTCATACACACACATCTATTTTGGTAGTTCTAAGACGTCGGGAAAAACACATGCAGAATGTTTTTCTGATAATATTTCCTTATCCTTCTCCCTGGCAATCAGGTTTCAATATTCAGTCTTGTATTGGCAAACTATTTCTTCATTATGAATACAAAGGGATGAAGTTTACAAGAATTTGAAATAAGAGAGGAACGTGTTGTATAATAATTTGAAAAAGTGTATATATGGATATTTTCAGTGGGAATATGTATTTTTTTATTTCGATTTATCCTTTTTGAGCCGCAAGGCTCACTAATAATACATTTCAAATAGCTTAGATATTAACATGCAGCAGTGGATAAACTGGTGAAAATATAAACTCGTTCCCTTAGCACAGTATACCGTTTCAAAGGAAACTATTCTAAGTGAACCTTGTTTGTGATAATATATATTTGTCTATGCAATTTGTTTCGTTTAAAACGTATTTCTGTAATTATCAAATCTTGCAATATAAAACAACGATATATTTATATACTTACATTGTAGACAAAATATATCCAAATTTTTATTTACGGTTAATAAACTACTGAAAGGAGAAGACCTATTGGTATTTGTTAAAATACATTTTACACGGAAACATGAGGCCTAAACTACACTTCATTTCCTCGCGGCCATTTAAAATGTCATTATTCATTGCATGTCATTAGAAAAGTGTCATTAGTCCTTGTGTACAAATGTGTTTTAATGTGCCCTTATGTACCTTTTGAAATGTCATTAAATTTTGGGTAACATCATCTCATCAATACCTCTTATGGCTGTCATTTATAACGAAGAAGAATTCCATTAACATAGCCATATTACATCGTATACTTAATATGGTCCTCTTATTGCAAGGAGCCGTACATCATAATGGGTTAACATGTCTCTTTCAATAAATGATGTAATCTGTTATTCTAATTTTAGACCGAAATTTCGTGCCTTATCTCACTGTATGTTTCTTTAAGTAGCATGTTCAAGCCTCATTATTGGTCAGCTGTGTAGTTACGGTTATCATTGATGCCACAGACGACGTGTTATCTGCGTTGCGATAAATAAATCAGATCTGAATAACAGGGTTATTGATGTCTATTCCGAAAATGTTGATAATGTTAATAAAATGTACTCCTAATGATTTTTCATTTTTATCCTGACAGACGCATGGACATATGAAATTAAAGATAATAGTCTGATTTCGAATGAGTTTAACGAATTACAATTTACAGAATTTCGAATAAGTATTTTTTTATCTAGATGTCTTGAAGATCCTTGGATTAAAAGAACACATATACAATAACTTTGGTATTACTGTCGTTTGTTTGTAATTGATTTATTATGTACATGTTCCTTCTTAGCAGCACAATTCCAGAAAGAAATCGTCTTTTCATAAGCAGAATTTTCTACTCTTGTTAGTAGGTATTAATTTTACATTATTAGTTTGCGTGAGAAAATTATGTCATTCTGTCCCACAGATATGGGTCATACATGATACTATATATAGTAAAGAAATGCAAGATATTGTATCTTATTTAAAGCAGGGCATGACAGGCATTGAAAGTTTCCCCAGTCGTTATTTGGTGTAGATTGTACTATCACCAAGTTTTTTCCAGGTGAATCGTGTGATATACTTGGGCGTATGCTGTCCGCGATAAAACAGAAAAAACGATATTGTAGGCTTAAATAAAAACAATGCACCGCCCAATTTTGACAATATTCGACATATTTTGACAACACCCATGCAACAGTAAATCTGTCATCGACACTATTTAACTTACTGTCTTGCCTAAGACTGCACTAATGTTGTCGCTGATGGCATTGTCTATGTCTCACAATCACAGGGATTACATGAACAAAGAACAGGTTTTTTACTGCTAAACCGCTGCGTGTGCAATTCATCATCCTATAATCAGTTGATGATGTACACATGTAAGACAAAGTAAATAAATTTTAGTTGTCATGGTATGGAAGAATTAAGTTTTTAAAAAAATAGGGAAACTGTTATTTCCCCGTACCAAATGTTTATCTACATTATGATATAAAGTCAGATGTCTTACACAATAACTCTTACATTGGTTTCCAAATATCAAATGTCCACTTTTGTACACATGTCCCTTTAGGCACGCGCCTGTTGTTAAAACAGAAGTAAATCGATACGACAAGTGCTTAATATATCTTTTGATAAAATCTGATTGGATTATTTATTAGGAGATCAGGGACAGACTGTTGTGAATATTAAGGTAAAACCAGAAACAGATTATAGTGTCTATAACGAAGCCCTCCATGTGCCCTTTGCACATTCGCTACCCTTCAACAGTCCGTGAAGCAACA